CGCACGCGTGACTCGAGCTGAACCAGCAAGCGCTGCCCCACTGATCCAGCCTCCTCCTCGTCCACGTCCGCGCGCTGCTGGCGCGCCTGCCGAGCTGGTGGAGGGGGCGCGGGTGGCGGCTTGGCCGCGGCCGCTGCGGGCGCGGCCGATGCTGCTGCTGGCGCCTTGCCCTCGGCCGCAGACGCCTTGCCCCCGCCCGCCGGCGCCTGACCCCCGGCCGCGGGCGCCTTGCCCTTGGGTTCGGTCCTTGGAGCCCTGGGCGGCGACTGGCTGGCGCCCGCGAGGGGCCGCTTTTAAAGGTCCCCGGCAAGCTCGAGAGTGACATGATGGTCGGAGAGGAGGGCGGGCAGATAGGACTGTGTATGAAAGCGGTACCTGTAATCGTTCTCTTGATCCTGAAAGCACAATAGTCAGACGTACGTCTGGAGATGCTGGGCCGCCACCGCCATTGAGCTGAACGTGGACGAGCAGAGTATGCACTGATTCCATTTCGTGACTCGCCTCGCTAGATCTTTCATCCCGTGGCTGCCGCCCTGCTCCTCCCATCCCAAATGGCGTAGCACGGCGCCAGCGGTGGCAAAGCGCGCTGGGCATGGGCTGCCGCCATCAAGCACTGCACGGGCAGCTCCTCCCCCGCTTCCTGCCCGATCCCTGGGCGATCGCTCGATTTTTTGGCCCGACTCCTTCCTGTCCGCCGGGCATCGCTGGGACGTGTGCATTTTTTTTTTCCTCGGCGAGCACCATCGAGGACCACCCTCGACCAACGAGCCGAAAACAACACGCGCGAAACCGACGAAGAATGCACGGGAAAGGGACGTCCGAGCGGCGGCGCGTGCGATCCCCGGGCGCCCACGAGGCGCCCGCGAGGCGCCCACGGGCGGGCACCCGGGGAGGCCTCGGCAGGCCTTGCGCGTGGCACGGGGCGCCCCCCGGGCGGGCACGGGGCGCCACGGTTGGCAGACCTCCGGCGGCCGAGGCCATGGAATGTGTCAGCGGCGCCGTAACGGGTGCTCACTAACGGGTACTCTGGGAAATTGCCGAAAGTTGCCACTTTAGGGCCTCTTTCTGGCATTGCAGCGTTGCCCACATCGGAGAGGATTGTGTTCGCTGGGTGGGACGCTGAATGTTACGCAAGTGGCGTAGGAACCCTTAATTTCAGGAGGGAAAGAAGCACACAGACAAATCTTTGTATTTGTGTGTATTTATTTGTGTGTCCCAGGGCCCCCATCATGATTACAAGCACCGTCCTGCAAAAATAGATCACAACGTGTCCAGATGTGTGTATACATCTAGATGCGGTTCGGCTGGAGGCGGTGCTCAGCGATGCGGAGCACGCGCTTGGGCCCCGCCCATTTACAGCGGCTGCTAGGACGCCTTTTTGTTTCGGTGTAGGCTGGACGTGAAATCACCCATGCGCCGGGCGATTGACGAGAGAATTGATCACCTCCCGCCTTTTCCGTCCTACGTTTCTCTTTATTCGTTTTATATGTGTCTGCCAATGTTCTTTTGTCATCCCTTGAATCATATCCGCCACTGGCTGGCACCACTTGCAAGATCTGTTCGGCGCAGCCACGGGGTGGGTGCCTGAAAGGGCGAGACCCTCTTGTTGAAGGAAAGATATTTAGAGAGAACGTGAGAAATACAGAAAAACAAACATGGGCGTAGAGAGAGAGAGAGAGAAGGAGAGACAATATAGAGAAAGAGAGAGAGAGAGAAAGAAATAAAGAAATAAAGGCAAGACAACGTCAGGGTGAGAGAGGGAGAGGGAGGGAAAGAGAAAGAGGTAGGGCGAGAATCATGAAAGAGACTTGAGAGGGAAGCACCGTGGCCGCTTCAGTACAGTTTCTTGCCCTGTCGAATATGTTGTCACGGCGGTCGCGCTGAGATCAGAAAGGCAGAATAGCAGAAGCACAGCGCGAAGCAAGGGATACGTGCCAGAGAGCCGCATCGCTGACCTCCTTCTAGCTGCCTCCAGGCCATGGCATGCCACCTGGCATGGGCGCCATGCATGGCATGCCGCCGCTAGGACTTACGATTGGGCACGGAAGGCATGTATATTTGCATGTTGTAGTGGAGTCGGGCGGTTGGTGCCAGCATGTCTATCTGTTCTGACCCGGCGCCTGTCAATTTTACCCGCTGCTTACCAATGCGAGTTTTAGCTATGGTGTGTGCACGTTGACGGCCCATGTTGCAAACCCCCCAGGTCGCAAGGGCAGGTCGTTTGTTGAAGTCTTCTTTCATTAATTATCCTACTTGTGCGGACACCATCGTGATTGCTTGCCCCATGTGTTGGCAGTTTCTGACTGACATTGTGCGTCTCGTCTGTATATCATGCAACGCTAGTTGGTTGTTGCAGTTGGCATGTCCGGAATGACGCCGAAGATGCGAGCACGTCAGCAACAGGTGATAGATTTGTTTTGTCTGCTCATGGCCTCGCTCCTGGCAGGACCGCCGCCGATGATGCCTGGAATGATGCGGCATCCCATGATGGGGATGCCTGGCATGCCCGGGTTTCCAGGTGCCCCGCCAGCATGAAGGAGGCAGGGCGCCTTGTCTCGTGTACTCCCGTGGCGGGCGAATTCAGGTCCAGCCGTCCTCATCCGTTCGCCCACGCGGATCTCCGTGTTTCCAGCTCGTGGAGGCGCAGTCTCAGGAAGCCTGCGCGCGCGTGGACAGTCACGCTTATTTTCTCGAAGGGTTCCATCGGCGCACAGACTGTATCAGCTAGTACACACTTGATTACCACGTGTTCATTCCTCTTCCTCCCCCTCTTCCTCCCTTGCCTGTTCCTGATCCACCGTGGTCTTTCTTCACACACCTCCCGAGTGTATCAAGAACTTGCCTACGTTATTCTCCCACCCACAGGTATGCACGGCGGAATGATGCCAGGCGCCATGGGACCAGGTGCGCATGTTTTCTTCCATTACCTCAGTTGGTTGTCGCGCTGATGTGGCACGAGAAGGAGGACGAGGAGGAGGAGGAGGGGGGTTGGAAGATGGAGGGTCGGGCGAAGGGTGAGGCTGTCCACGGCGACCACGACGACGACATCCATCACCGAACGGTCAAGCGTGAAACACGGGTGGTTCACAGAACACTTCGTCAGGGCAGCGCCGCATGGGTCGATCCGGCAGCAGCGGTGGTTCCACGTCGGCACGGCGCCCGAGAAGGCCACGGAGCTCCTTGTGGCGAGAAGGGTGGGGGCCGTGTGCGTGCAATCAGTGCGTCCACGAGACTTGCCGCCAGCTCGAGACCGTCGGGCCGCGGTGGTTTGCCGCGATGCTCGTGGGGCAGGGGGCCATCGGCGGTCGGGTGGGGGGGGGGGGGGGGCGCGCGGGCCGGGCCCCGTCGCGTGTGCGCCTGGGCCTCGCGGCGAGAGGCGAGGGGGATGGTGGCTGCAGTCTTGGTGGGTGGTGCCCGGAGCGTGGTGGTGTCGCTGCACGGTGACACAGGATCGGGGAAGCTCAGAGCGTGAATTACCTACCCCGCTTTCGCTTCCGGGCAAAACCAAGTCGTACCACGCGCCTCCTCGTCAAGCGGCCTGGCCAGTACAGGCCGTAGTTTGGCATCGCTTGGTATCTCTTGGAAGCGAGGGTGTTCAAAAGCGAGGTAGGTTTGTTTTCCCCCTAGAAGCGTAAGATCCGAGTTCGCCGTAATTCGGGTTTGCCCACGCTCTTTGTTCGACGAGCAAGTCCTGGAGTTGGACGGTCCGGTTTTCGTGGGATGTTTGCGGCTGGAGCTCGCGTCAAAGTTCAGATTGGGTCTCGTCATTTTATTGACGGCCTCGCCAGGCCAACCCGAGCCCCAAACGAGAGTCTTACGTCTCCCTGACAGAAGCATCTGAGCCATCGAGCGCGCCCCCCCGTGCGTGAATCATTGTCAGCGTTGTCATGGAAGAGTACCAAGCCCAAGGGATGTATTCAAGTTGTTCCTAGTGCATCACAGTGCGTTTCTCTGTTGCCCGACCGGCACAAAGGTGTTATGCTGTTTTCGTTTGCCTCACTCCTGAATGTTGGGGAGCTTGTGCAAATCATGCAAGCAAGTGGAGTATAGTGCAGCATGCGTCTGCCACCTCGCTAACCAGCTACCTCAGCGCATTGCACTCTGATTGAACCCACATTGCCAGCGGACACATGTTGCGTATGTAAGTCATGCCTGATATCAGGAACGTCTGAATTACAGTGATGTGTTATTTGAACCAGTAACGAATGTTTCCCGATGCGAGGTATATGGTGGTGTCTCTTCATTGGTGCGCGCCAGTCTGTACACTTTTGTGTTTTTTCCTTGCTCGCTTCGGTTCCACATCATCTGGTTTAGGTATGATGTGTTTTGGACATTGCTGCGCGTATAATATGCTCGCCTGCACGTTTGCCCATGCTCTTCGCTGTAAGTAGCGGGGGCCGTGGCGCACATTTGCTAACTGGCCAGGAAAAGGTTGTCAATTGCGAGTTCAATATGATGGCTCACACGTTCCACTTCATTTTTCAAGCCATGCGTTACTGGACATGATCATGCATAACGTGCCAGGCTATGTTTGATTCGTTCCTGCGCACTTGTCTATAGACGACGACTCTGCATCGTATAGTGGTTGATACAGAATCTGAACACCCGAACGGAACCGATGAAACTTCGACACTGGCGTCTTTCATCGTGAATTGAGGTGTTGCCCTTCCAGCACGCGCGTACGACTTTCAAGGCAGCCCCGCCTCGACCATTGTCTTATCCCCGTAGCAATTTTGACATCTGTTTTTGCTCGCCTTTCACACAAGTGCCAGCAGTTCTCCTCTGGCATGTCCGTCTTGGGGATGGAGGGGCATGCCAGCTTTTTCAGCAAAGCTGTAGTTAGCTTGATTTTGCTGGCAACCTTCGGAGAGCTCAGCCAGAGATTCTACTGCTGGTGTGCCACGATTTTTGTCATGCACGCCAGCATGACCATTGCAGGCCTGACTTTGGACGACTCCATGGCCGTGATAGCTACGTTGGGCATAATCCGGTGCGCGCCCATCATCTTCAAGCGGCTCATGACCATAGCAGCGACCTATCCCCTCGCACTGACCTTTAAATTCGCTTCACAAGTCATTCCCAAGTACACCATCGATGAGGAGGAGTTTTTCAAAGCGGACGGTTGTTCGCACGAGGTGGCACAGCGGCGCAAGAAGGCGATCGAGGAACTCGGGAAGAAGTGGAACACGAAGTACACCAAGTGCCTACAATTCTCCGAGGAGTTGAAAATGATGATTTCCGATCTTCGATTCACGTCGGGGCGGTGTTTTCCGGCCTTCAACGGTGTTGTGCAGAAGTATTTGGACCCGTCGATGGCTTTGGACCGGACAGAGGGCGTCGACGTCGTCGATTACGACGGCAACAAGGCCATGGACATCAGCGGGTCTTACGGCGTCAACGTGTGCGGCTACGAGAAGTACAAGGACTTCATAGACGAGGGCTGGAGCAAAGCCAAGAAGCAGGGGCTCTTCCTGGGGTCGTTGGACAACACGGTGCTCGACAACATCGCCAGGCTGCGCAAGATCTCGGGGCACGACGAGGTGTCTTTCCACATGTCTGGCACGGAGGCCGTCATGTGTGCCGTGAGGGTGGCCCGCTTCAACACCCGCAAGCCCCTCGTCGTGACCTTTGGCGGGGCGTACCATGGTTGGTGGGATGGCATGCAGCCCGTGGCCGGCAACGAGCGCATACCCCAAGACGTGTTGTGCCTCAAGGACATGAGCCAGCTGTCTTTGAGAGTGATCGCGATGAGGAAGGGCGAGATCAGCGCTGTTCTTATCAACGCGCTGCAGTGCTTCCACCTCAACCAGTCTCCTCCTAGCGACCCCGTGCTGTCCACGAACAACCGCAAGGTGGGCCCCACTCCAGGCTACAAGGAGTGGCTCCACCAGTTGCGCAAGGTCTGCACGGAGTCGGGCATCCTCTTGATTTTTGACGAGGTGTACACTGGCTTCCGCCTTCATCAGCGGGGGGCCCAGGGTGCGTATGACGTCAAGGCCGACATCGTATGCTATGGGAAGACGCTGGGTGGTGGGTTGCCCATAGGGGTGGTGTGCGGCCCTAAGGAGTGGATGGCACGCGGCGATGCCAAGAAGGCTGCCCGCATCAATTACGTCATTGGCACGTTCGCTGGGCACCCCCTTGTGATGGCTTGCATGAATGCCTTCCTCAAGTGGCTCGACACGCCAGAAACCTTGCAGTCCTACGAGGACATGCAGGACAACATCGATTATTTCATCAGCACGGCCAACTCCAAGTTCAAAGAGAAGGGCTACCCAGTGAAGCTGACGAGCTGGTTCTCGGTCTGGTCAATCCTCTACACCCAGCCGGGCCGCTACCACTGGATGTTCCAGTACTATCTGCGGGATGCGGGCGTGAACCTCAGCTGGGTGGGCACAGGGCGGCTCCTGTTCTCCCTGGAGTGGAAGCGCGAGGACTACAGCCGCCTTCTGGAGAGGATGCTCGTCGCTTGCGAGCAGATGACGGCTGGCGGCTGGTGGGAGCCTCCGGTGGCGAACATCAAGGTGAAGTTGATGGGTGAGATTGGCCATGCGGTTTTCAGGAACATCATGTCCTCGGCCGCGTGAGACCAGGCGTGAAGCGTATCTTTCGCCAGCGGGGCGTCGTTCATGACCGTAGTAGGCCGCGAGCGACGTAATCGATCGCTGCCAAAGGGAGCCAACGAGGACCCTATGTGCTGTTGCTGCCTGTATGTTTCCTCTGGCGCTGGTGGCGGGCTGCAGATTCGGTGCGCAATGCGCAGGGGGGGGTACACGAGTCTGGCGCAATGACCGAATCACCCCGCAGCCCACTGCCAAGTCGCCGATGCCCCTGGCGTCTTTATGCTTCTTGTCTCCCGCTGCAGGGTAGAACCAGCATAAGAGGGTACCCTGCGAGCGAGAGGCGGATCAAACAAACATCGAATCACCATCATCGCCTTACAGAATTGTTGCAGATCCGTCGGATCCTGCACTGAATCGTCCCCTGATGATTTTTGTTCACTGTTTTTGAACTCTCCTCCTGCAGAGGGACGTGCCCGACTTCAGCTCCACCCCTCCGCCCTCCCATCGCCGACCGCCGCCGCAGGCGGCGGCATGATGCCTGGCATGCCCCACGGCGCGGCGCCGCACATGTGGCCCGGGGCGCAGGGCCCCGCCGCCGCCAAGGGCGCTGGCGGCAGCAGCAGCAGCAGCAGCAGCGGCGGTCGGGGAGCAAAGGGCTCTTAGAGGGCTCCTCCGTGCCTCGGGGGCCACGACAGGGGGAGCTGTGCACAGAGGGGGGGGGGTGCGTCGACCCTCAATCGCCCACTGATCGCCGACAGGAGCTCGGTAGCCCCCACCTGCCCAGGAAGGCGCAGCTTCACGATCGGAGGCCCATCGCCGAGCTGTCGGCGATGTGTCGCCGATTCCAGGTCGATGCGCCAGTCCCCCCCTGTCGTTGCCCCTATCGTTGCCCCCTGTGCCAGTCCCCCCTATTCTTTCGAGACCGGGGATCCCGACCTCCCGACCACTTCCCCGGGACCCGTTTCTCATCCCGAGCCGTCGTTTTGACGGCCCCGAGGCCCGAACGAAGGGCCCCGAGAGGCCAAACAATGCGCCAAAGCTCCGCCTCGATTTTTGTCGAGGCGCTCGACGTTTGGGTCCCTCCTCGCTGTCCCCGTGCCCCTCCCGCTCCTCCTCCCCGGACGCGTGCTCCTCTGGCGTCCCTCCAGCGCCTCCGCTCGGCCTCGCGCCCGGAGGGGACGCTCTCGCCGCATCCCGAGAGCCCTCGGCGGTCGGGGCGGGCACAATCGGGGCCCTGAAGAAGGATCCCTTTTCGTTGGGGAGGGGCTCGGTGTTCCTTGATTGTTTCAACGTTTGCCTCGGGTATTCCTGAGGTTTGCCATGGGAAGTCGAACCTCAACTTATCGGAGGAAGGGGCCCCGTTCCTTATTTAGGGTTCCTTAGGTCAACGCCCCGACTGCACAGGGGAGCGAGCGGGGAGTCACGCGGCTTTCCCGTCTCGTCCCCCTCCTGTCTGACGGGGGCCGATCGCTTCTCCGCTCGCTCCCTCCCCGCCCGCCGTGATCGCGGGAGTTTCGGGGCGCCCTCGGCGTGGAAAGGAGTTCCCTCGCGGCCAAGATCGCAGAGTGCCTAGACAGAGTTAAAGAATGCAGGAGGGCAAGGTGCAGGTGGGATGCTGTGAGCGTCGGGTCGGAGGCCCTTCTGTCCCTCCCTGCGCCCAACAGGAGGTCGCTTCGTCTTCCCCTCGGGTCTCTTGCGTCGCTCCTGGGGGCGCGAACATGACCGCGCTTCGCGAGTCGCGGGCTGGGCCTGAGGGGTCACTCCTCTTCGCGCAATATATGCTACAATGCATTTTGTCGTCGAAAGCTTGGCCAGCTAAGCGCCACACCTGAGGGCCGAGGGGTGGTCCTTGTCCGGGGCGGGCGCGAGATCGTCGCGTACAGCTGAGCGCGAAGGTGAGTTGCCTAGGGGATGCCGCGGACGTCGGCTCGGAGGCATCTCCGCCCCTTGATCCTGAGTGGCTGGCCAGTTGTTTGTTCGTTTGTTTGCTCTCTCTCTCTCTCTCTCGCTCATTCTCTCAATCCCTCTGTCTCTCACTTGCTCTCTGATCCCTCTTCCTTGCAATTCTCTCTCTCTCTCTCTCTCTCTGTTTTTATTCCCAACCCTCCTTGGTTGGGCATTCGTTTTGAATAGAGCAGTGTGGTCTCCACTCCTTCCTTCCTCCTCCTCCTCCCTCCCTGCCTCTTCCTGTCTTGCCTGCGGGGGGCTGCGATCTGTGAAACTGTCGCCATTTTCGAGGCCTGCTGGGGGGCCCAGCACAGTGAGGGCGACGCGCAGATTCAAATTAGACCTCGCCATCCCTGGGGGGCTGCGATCTGTGAAACTGTCGCCATTTTCGAGGCCTGCTGGGGGGCCCAGCACAGTGAGGGCGACGCGCAGATTCAAATTAGACCTCGCCATCCCTGGGGGGCTGCGATCTGTGAAACTGTCGCCATTTTCGAGGCCTGCTGGGGGGCCCAGCACAGTGAGGGCGACGCGCAGATTCAAATTAGACCTCGCCATCCCTGGGGGGCTGCGATCTGTGAAACTGTCGCCATTTTCGAGGCCTGCTGGGGGGCCCAGCACAGTGAGGGCGACGCGCGGATTCAAATTAGACCTCGCCATCCCTGGGGGGCTGCGATCTGTGAAACTGTCGCCATTTTCGAGGCCTGCTGGGGGGCCCAGCACAGTGAGGGCCACGCGCGATTCAAATTAGACCTCGCCATCCCTGGGGGGCTGCGATCTGTGAAACTGTCGCCATTTTCGAGGCCTGCTGGGGGGCCCAGCACAGTGAGGGCCACGGGCAGATTCAAATTAGACCTCGCCATCCCTGGGGGGCTGCGATCTGTGAAACTGTCGCCATTTTCGAGGCCTGCTGGGGGGCCCAGCACAGTGAGGGCCACGCGCGGATTCAAATTAGACCTCGCCATCCCTGGGGGGCTGCGATCTGTGAAACTGTCGCCATTTTCGAGGCCTGCTGGGGGGCCCAGCACAGTGAGCCACGGGCAGATTCAAATTAGACCTCGCCATCCCTGGGGGGCTGCGATCTGTGAAACTGTCGCCACTTTCGAGGCCTGCTGGGGGGCCCAGCACAGTGACGCCACGGCGGATTCAAATTAGACCTCGCCATCCCTGGGGGGCTGCGATCTGTGAAACTGTCGCCACTTTCGAGGCCTGCTGGGGGGCCCAGCACAGTGAGGGCCACGCGCGGATTCAAATTAGACCTCGCCATCCCTGGGGGGCTGCGATCTGTGAAACTGTCGCCACTTTCGAGGCCTGCTGGGGGGCCCAGCACAGTGACGCCACGGCGGATTCAAATTAGACCTCGCCATCCCTGGGGGGCTGCGATCTGTGAAACTGTCGCCACTTTCGAGGCCTGCTGGGGGGCCCAGCACAGTGAGGGCCACGTTCAAATTAGACCTCGCCATCCCTGGGCTTCAAATGAGACCTCGCCATCC